TGTGCAGGTTTGGAGCCCCCAAACCGATGTTCGGGGAAGGCGCCTTCCCCGAACATTTACCGGACTTTGGTCCGGTTTGGTTCGGCTGTTCGGGGCTTCGAAGCGGAGGGAAGCGAAACGGACTGGTGAAATGACTGCAAGCGATTTAACCCTTCCTGGACAATCCCACACACACACCTTTGTAAAGGGGGAACTGAACCGGCTCAGTTCACGTGGGGGCCTTCCGGCTTGGTTCGGTTCGGGGTTCGGATCGGGGGCCACCCCAAATCAAACTGGTGTTTTTTTAGGTCCGTGTCTATCCCTAATGTAGGAGAGTCTCCAGCATGTCAAGGCCCGTCCTCTTGGTTGGCCCAAGCAACAGGCAAGGTCTGGCCAGTGTTCAATGTGAACTGAACATGGGCCTCAAACATGGCCCAGAATCCTCTGCTCTGTACAAGGCTTCTGCAGCAGGAGGCACTTTGCTCTGGAAAGGTGTTCCGCAAAGGTAGACAGCTTTTGCAGGCCAAGCACCAGTACAATCATTCCCCAAAGAAATGAAGTGCAAATCTCTCTTAACGACACCTTGACAGGGTTCCGGCACGTCTCTGTGTCCCAGTGCATGAATGGAGATGGTGTCAGAGTGCTTGGTGGATAGAATAGAACCCATTTGGTCTTTCTGGCATGACTGTAGTAAGAGTTGGATGTTAGGGCACATGTAGACCTGGAGACAAGAGCTCTGGAGCAATGCTCCCTCTTAGCTGTGGAGTCTTGTGACCAAAAATTCTACTTTGTGGGTTACCGGCGTTAAAGTTGTGAGTGGGCGATTTGGCTACTGCATCAATCAGTTTGCTCTGGAGCCCTCCCTCCTGAGCCAAGACAAAAATGTGTGAGCCGGAGGCTAAAGAACTGTGAGCTAGCTCACACTAACTCAGCTCAGAGGGAACGCTGCTCTGGAGTCCCTTGTCAGCAAATAATTTTACTCAGGGGTCATTTTTGCAAAATTTTTTGGCAAAAGTTCATTTTCTGTTGGTATATCTGATTTCTTGCAGTACTTAGCATAAAGAATTCTTGCCGCCGTAACCATATGTATAATTAAGTGCTTAACTTTCTTATCTTTTACATCCGGCATAATATTAAGCAAAAACATTTCAGGTTTGAATGGTAGTGGTATTAGACATGTTTTTGGTAACGTTTCATGATCAGATACGACTGCTCTTGCGTTCTTATCTCTCGAGTCCCTTTGCTGTAGCCATCCTTCTCTCTGTGCCCTTCCCTTTCCTCTGGTTCAGCCACTGGAAGGGTGCTGGGTTTTGCCCTGGGTTTTGCTGAACCCTTACCAAAGGTCTTGTGTAGTCTGAACGGCACTCTTCCATAATTTCTCAGTAGATTCTAGGGTAGGGTTGCCAAGTGTAAATTCCTCCAGAGCGGGGGACTCCCGTCCGGCGTCTAAAGCGTGCATGCGTGCCGCACACACATCACCTGGAAGTGACGTGACGACGCCGGGCACGCTGGGGGCGGGGCCACGACCATCTGAGGGAAAACCATAGAGTTTTCCCTCGGATGACCGTGGCCCCGCCCCCAGTGTGTCCGGCGTGATCGCGTTACTTCCGGGTGACGCACACGTCGGGGTGGGGTTTCCCCTGGGGCCCGATCCACCAGCGGTGGGGAACGGGCCTCTGGGGCGGGGGTTTCCCCGCCCTCCGGGGGGACTTAGCAAGCCTATTCTAGGGATCATTTCTCAATAAATTCTAGGGATGCCATAGGGGGGGAAATAATTAGCCCGTGAGACCATCCTGAAGTATCTGACCTGCTCAGTATCAGTTGAGTGGGTTATCTGGCCTGATCATTTCAATCCCTGCATCTTCCCGAGACTCTTAAATCAATGGGTTATTTATTAGCTATTGAAAAGTGTAGGTTGTGGATATAGAGAAATATTTGGCCCAGTCTTACACTCTCAACCTAACTTATCTCATAGGGTTGTTGTGAGAAAAAAATGGAGGAGACCAGTGTCAGCTGGGGAGAAAGGCAAGGTGTAACTAACGGGAATAATGAAAAAGAAAAATCGGGTTTCTGGGGAATCACTCGTGGTCCGAGCACAGCATTCCAAGGGATTTCGGAGTGCCCCCGACAGGATTGCTGCTGCCGCTGCCACCAGGTGACCGCTTGACTACTACTCTCATCAGCTTTGGTCAAAGGGCCTAGTTCTCTACCCTGGAGGGCTATCCACTTCTGCAGGGGCAATATCAGGGAGGTGGCTCACAAGGCCGTCCCGGCTCCCATCTTCTCCCCTGACTGGGATTTTCCGCCACTCAGCTTTTCCGGTTCTGCTTGAGCTCCTTGCTGACGAGTGCTAATCGTGAAATGCCAAGCGAGGGTCTGGTTGGAGTCGTCCCCCCCCCCCTTACATATTAAACATTCTGAACTTGTCCTTTTGCTCATAGATTGTGCATAATTAATAATTAAACAGCTTCCGTTGTAATGGGTTGACCTTCCTGAACTGTTCATTATTCACAAGGCAAAGGCATCACTCAAAACACAGGCGACCGCCGCCCCCCCCCCACACACACACACACACCGGCTTACCCTTCTCTGTTCTCAGGCTGTGGGTATACAAATCCATTTGGTCTGAATCTTTTTCCCCCCCTTGGTTCGGGGCTGGGTCCACCTCTGGGCTTGTCCCTTCCCAGCCCTTTAAAAAGAAGGGGGGAATCAAAAGGAAGCGATGCTCCTTTTTGGAGAGCGCCGTGTGCTAGGGATTTTATTTATTTGTTTGTTTGTTCGACTTATCTCCCAGCCTCCCCGCCAAAGTAGGACCTTTAGGAAAAACTACTGTGGCGTTCCTAATGCTTTTTAAAAGTTGTCCCTTTTGTGTGTTTCTCTTGTCCTCCACGGCGATGCGAAATCCCAAGTTCAGATATTGCCTTGTCGACAGATCGGGTGGCCTTTGGCAAAACTGGTGTTGTTGAAGGAACACGCTGCCCTTCTCAGACAGTTCCCACAAAGGTGAGGGTGGGGTGGAGGGAATGTAGTCTTCCCCATCCAGAGTTGCTGCAGAGTGAGCATTCTGGGGTCTCCAAAGCTTTTATAGTGGAGTGTCAGCTGACTGGCTTTGTCCAATAGGAAGCTTTGGTGCTGTGTGGCTCATCTTGCAGGTCCCTCCTTCGGGCTCCAGACAGAACTTGCTTAGGCTGCATCCTCAAGACGCCAGTTCTAAACCCGCACTGGGCTAGTGTCACAATTGCCTGGCATAATACATCAGCCTACTTTACACAGGTATTATCTTGATAACGTATGTGAAATATTTGTATTATTTGAGAAGTTGCATTTATATACCGAAACCGTCTCCTGTTGACGCCTTTTGCCGGCGAGCGACAGAATGCCAGCAGTACCCTCCGCCGCTTGTTCATCTGCGTTAGTTCAAAGCCGCCCTTCCCGCGCAGCAGAATTCACAAACTGTGCATCAAACGCGAACCCTCAGAATACTGTCGCCGTTTCCTCTTCAGTTACTTTTGATTTAATTGTATTTTGCTGCAATTTCCGATTGTTTGAATTGGAAACAAAGCCTTAATAAGAGTTCTAGTTAATTTTCTGTCTTGTAATTACCACTCTCATTTTTCTGATAATTGGCTGCCGCAATTATATGTATATTTACTAATCACGTCAGCAGCTCGCCGGCCCCGTCTTTCCTGCCGCCATTGATAATGACGTGCACGCGGGGTATTGCGGAGGTGCTTCTGTCATCATCGCCGTCGTCTCCTTTTTCTTTTTTCTAAAAAAGAAAAAATTCTCCCCCCACCCCACCCAACACCACATCAAAGCTATTTCCCTCGCAACCCCTCCGTAATGAACGCCACACATGCATTTGACACAGTTGTGTGCGAGAGAAATTGTTTGGCTCCCGCCAAATGCTGCACGCTCCCGCGTTTCTTGCCTGCAGCACTGGAAGGTTGTATGGGATGATGTATGGCTCTCGCAAATGGCCAAAGCGCTCCAAAGCACTACGAGATTAAAATAAGTCATTCCTTTGTTAATTTAAATAGGTGCAGGTTTTTTTTTATAGCAAATGAGAATAGATGAGAAGAGAGTCATTTGCAGCTGACTCCTGTTTTATCGTGGCTCTCTTGTTCCAACTGTAGGTCTAATGAGATGACTGTTAAAGTACTCCGCAGTGCAATTTCATTACATCCTGAGCAGTTACACTATAAACACTGGCAAATCTCTCTGTCATTCTTGGGGGGGGGTTGTGCAGGGGGGAGGGAAGGTCCTCAATTTGCAAATCCCTCCTTTTGCCAATGGAATACTCCTCCCTGAAGTGATCGTTTCTTGCATTTTTAAAACATTTGTGTGTGTGTGTGTGTGTGTGTGTGTGTGTGTGTGTGTGTAGGCAGCTTTTTTTTTTGACAGATTTTTCGTTAATTGGACTCCACTCACAATTTTCTAATTCCCCCCCTTACATTCTCTTTCCAGCCCCATCCCACCTCTCCCCTTTAAATCTAACAAGATTTGGGACTGCTAAGTGTAAATAAATAGCAACTATGATGCAGGAAGCAAAGGTCGGCGCAAGAATAATTTCCTAGCTCTTTGTTAATTACAAGACCATTTGGGTGTTACTTAAATAATCATTAATTTCTCATTTACACTCTCCCTACCTTCTTTTCTGCCCCGTGGCTATCCTTGTCCCTTTCTTACCTCCCCTCGGTCTTTTTTCCACTTTTTTTTTTTACCCATTGTATAACACTCATTACTTCTAAATGCAGGATTCTTAACACGTCCCTGAGACTACCCCTTACCATTTTTTTTGGGGGGGGGGAATGTCCCCCCACCCCCACAGCCTCTTTTTTAAAAAATCAGTCTCATGACTTGTTTTCCCGTCTAGAAGCAGCTACACAATTGACAAAACGGAACTCACACTTTCTGATTTTTTTTGTCTCCCTTTCCTCTCTCTCTCTCTCCTTCCTTCTCTCTTCCTGACCTCCCCCCCCCTCCTTTCTCCTCTCCCCCCAATCCGAACCCAATTGCAGGAATCGCCTGTCCTTCCGGTTGGGGAGTTCTCCGAGCCGTTTGTACACTTCATCACTCAATGGTAAGCTTCATTTGCAAACGTTCCGTGCCCTCGATGTAAATGATACATGCCATTAACTCCACAGTACCACAGGACCTTCTGGCTTCCTCTGTATCCTTCCAGAGACGCCGGGGACTTGGGAGGCCTTGGGCAGTTGGGCCAGGGAAAGCCGAGCAAACTGTTTAAATTATGTAAACGTTATTTACACAAAGGGTCATAAAAGTACTTCGGAGGGGGGATTTTTACCCCCCTACCCTTGTTTTAATAAATGATTGGGGGGGGAATCGAGGTGTATTCTCGAGGAACTTGCTTATGTGTGGGTTCGGTTTTGGTTATTGTGGTATTTTAAATCGTTGGAAGAGGAATGACAGCTAATCATATTTATAGCCATTATTCAGCCATTTTTAATATTTTAAAAAACATCTCTCCTTTTAGCACGGGCTAAACCGCGTGCTTGATTGATTTGTTGGCGTTCCATTTAGAACTGGTTTTATGAGGTTCCTCTTTGAGTGTTGGCGGGCACGTTATTTTTAAACTGTACCGTAGGGCAAGTTGGGTTGCTTCTACGTAAGCCGCCTTGTTTGATAGGCCGATTAATTGGAGGAAAAGAATTTTAAAGGAATCTGTTTTAAAGAAGGGATCTCCTGGGCACCAAAAGGTTAAAGATCTATAGGCAGCCTATTATAGTGAACAGGGAAGGAGCTATTTGAAGGTCACGTTTTATGTAAAAAAAAAATAATAATATGCAAGCACTAAAGTGATAAAACAAAGATTGAACTTTGGGAACAGAGAGCAATTCCCCCCCCCTTTTTTTTTTTTACCAAAATGAGAACTTGGATCAAATTGAGAAATTCGAGTCATTTAGCACAGGGGAAGAGGGTTGTATTGTAATTGGAGGGATATCAGATTATGGCTGCCCAGTCCTTTCACTTTTAGTCAGACTAAGCTCTGGTCCTTTGGAAGGGAGGGCTAGAAAGCATTTTCTTCCTCAAGCTTAGTGAAGAAAAGTGCTCAGTACCGTGCAGGATTGGGTTTCCGACAGTGCTGATAAGATGACGTGTGTGTGAAAATATATTGATGTGCACATTCAACACGGGGACCTTAGAAGGTGCCCCATCATTCCTTGGTTCTAATCCCACCTTTCTTTGAAAGCAAAAAAGAAGTTTTTTATTAGAGTCAGCGGAACCTACTTCCGAGAAGGTGACCTAAGACTGTTATCTACGAGGGTGAATTGTGTCGTTAGGCTAAGCCGATGCAGGCTGGAAGCCGATGTGAGAGAGCCTTTCCCTGGGAATGTCCCAAAGGGCAGCGTTCTGATAAAAGAATTAACAGTGTGACTTTCCAGTTAATTGAAATAATAAATACAAAGGTTTATGTTTATTATAAGACTGATCCACTTTCGGGTAGATTAGGTTTTTACGCCGCAGTCATAATTGTTGGCGATCTGTCCCGCTCTTGAAAAGTGAGGTACAGGGGACGGCACCTTTCTGTCCGTGCCCAGAGATTAATCGGAGAGCGTATCGTTTTTATATTTTTTTAATTGAGGCAGTAGGAGGGCTAACCTCTATAGAAATGTCCACAGATGTCAGGCTGAAGCGTGAATGATGGCAGATAATAGCCTTGTTCTCCCACGAGATCCGGCTACTTTGGAATGTCAGATTAAGAGTGTTGCCAAGGCGGCTTTGAACAGCTTGCGAGAATGCGGCCCGCGGATGGGCCGCGCACGGTTATTAGGGGAGTGATCCACAGGGTGTGTCGTTTCTGGTGGAAGTCGGAGCTGGCGTGGCATTTGCTCCTGGGTAGAACACACGCGCAGTGCAGCCACAACTCTTTCAAGGGGTGAGTGCAATCCGCATGCTCTTCCTTTGTAGCAAGCAGAATCCGATCCACAGGTGGCACCGTTCAGATTTCACTCTCCTCTTTTTTCCCCTTTCGTTTATTTATTTACAAAATTTATATCCCACCTTTCTACCTTGACAAGGGCCGCCAAAGCAGCTAATAGCTTTAACGTACAACATGATTTGAAAAACATCACCTTATAAAACCATTAAAATCAACTCCCCCTCCCAAACACAAATCATTAAAAGAATGAAAAAAGAGTTAAAAAAACCCCACCAGAGTTAAAATACCTACTAGACATAAAAACATTGTTTAGGAAGGAGGACTCGCTCATGGGGGGAATGCCGAACAAAGCAAAAAGAGTCTTCACCTGCTGGCAGAGGACAGCAACAGATAAAAGGAAGTCCTTCTTCACCCAAAGGGTGATTATAACACATGGAATTCACTGCCACAGGAGGTGGCGGCGGCTACAATCATGGACGTCTTCAAGAGGGAATTGGATAAGCATATGGAGCAGAGGTCCATCAGTGGCTCTTAGCCACAAGGTATAGATAAAATCAGTCTGGGGCAGGTGATGCTCTGTATTCTTGGTACCTGGGGGAGGCAAGAGTGGGAGGGCTTCTGGTGTCCTGGCCCCACTGCTGGACCTCCTGATGGCCCCTGGTATTTTTGGCCACTGTGTGACAGAGTGTTGGACTGGATGGGCCATTGGCCTGACCCAACATTGGCTTCTCTGTTACGTTCTTATGTCTGGGGCAAGTGATGCTCTGTATTCTTGGGGGGGGGGCAAGAGTGGGAGGGCTTCTAGTGTCCTGGCCCCACTGCTGGACCTCCTGGTGGCACCTGGTAATTTTGGGTCACTGTGTGACACCGAGTGTTGGATGGGCCATTGGCCTGACCCAACATTGGCTTCTCTCTGATGTTCTTAATGTTAACAGAAGGGGACAGATGGATCTCCCTGGGTTTCCAGGTTCCTACTTGTTTGTAAACAAAGATGGGGAAGGGATCTGTCCAAGCCAGGGCTGCTTCCAGGTCTGGGGGAGGTTGCTTGGGTAGAGAGGTCTTAAGGGGACCTCCCCTCCTCTGCCCCCCCACCAGCCCCCCCCCCCGCTCACACTTCCTTCTCCCGGGCAGCGCATGCAGCTGGGAGCACTGATGGTGGTGGAGCAAGTGGAGGGGGGGTGCTCAGAAGCAGTGGGCCCGGGGTCACAGCGGCTGCCCCACCTCAGGGTACACTGATGCCAGCCATGGGACGAATGCAGAGAGAACCCCCTCCTGCCTGAAGCCGCTGCTTACTTGCAATAGCGGACCTTCTAACAGAGAGAGGAACCCAAAGACTGGGCCCTGGAATAGACCTTGGCTTCAGCATCCCCTCGGTGGCCAACAGCATCCTTTGGACCATCAAGGGCTCATTCAACCGTGTGTTCAAACACAGTGATTTCTACGCCTGTGCCGACAAGAACTTTCAGCTCTTTACATTGGCCAGGCTGGAGAGTCTTCGGTGACAGCCATTTTGGTGTAGTGGTTAGAAGCTCAGAATCTAATCCGAGAGGACCGGGTTCTATTCCCCACTCCTCCACATGCAGCTGCTGGTGTGACCTTGGGTCAATCACAAGTTCTCTCAGAGCTGTTCTCTCACGAGCAGTTCTCAAAGGAGCTCTCTCAGCCCCACCAGCCTCACAGGGTGTCTGTCGTGGGGAAGGGAAAGGAGGTCATAAGCCGCTCTGAGACTCCTGGGTAGTGACGGGTGGGGTGTAAATCCAAGCTCTTCTTCTTTGGTCAGGGATCCCCAGCCTTTTTGAACCCGCAAGTGCCTTTGGAATCCTGACACAGCGTGGTGGGCACAGCCACAAAATGGCTGCTGCAGGGGGCAGAGCCAATGCTGCCATTGTGCTGTGGTGGTGGCAGCTGCTGCCAAAGCAACGTTTTTTAAAAATCTGCACAGCCGGTCAGTTCTCCAGTGACCAATCAGAAACTTTATTTAGTTATTTATTTTATTCGACTCATATCCCGCCCTCCCCACATGGCAAGGCTCAGGGTGAGTTACATCAGATTTGATAAAAACACAATATATACAAAATTAACACAATTAAAACACAAGTAAAATACCACAATGGCCTTCATCCGGTGCTGTTGTCATTGACATTAAAACCTTATCTCTGGTATGCAGTTCTGACCCGCTGAGGGGAGGCCCAGTAAAGAGGGAGGGACGGCCATCGCCTTGGTTAAAAGCCTGGCGGAAGAGCTCCGTCTTGCAGGCCCTGCAGAACTGTAAAAGGTCCCAACGTCCATCACCTTAGTTAAAAGCCTGGCAGAAGAGATCCATCTTACAAGCCCTGCAGAACTCTAAAAAGGTCCCGTAGGGCCCTGATCTCATATGGGAGCTCATTCCACCAGGTAGAGGCCAGGGCTGAAAAGGCCCTGGCCCTAGTCAAAGCGAGACGGATGTCCCAGGGGCCGGGGACCACCAGAAGATGCTGATTGGCAAAAGCCCCACCTGGACCCATTCACTTTCGTTTTATTTTTTTAACTAGGAGGAAAGGCGGGATTTGAATGTTTTAATACATAATAAATGTCCTTTGCCAGCCTTCCCTCAGAGGGAATAACGTACAAAAAACTGTATAAGAATTTACATTGTGATATAATGCTTGCAGCATTTTATTCCATTGAAGATAAGAATATAGACGAGAAACCTGAAGAAGGATTCGTAAACGGACTTATACTAGAAATCCGTTTGTCTGAGAATATACTGTAGTGTTTCATATGTACTGCCAAGCCTAAGATCGCATTCTATAATGTTATAGTTGTAAGTTTGCTGACAATTGATTTCTAAAAGCATTATATATAAATATCTACTTATAGTATATATGTATACACGGTGATTTATTGTTTTGCTAGTTCTAAGAACACTTGGCAGACACCAGGACAGGCGTTGGTGGGTGCCCAGGCGCCCACGGGCACCACGCATTGGGGACCACCGGGGTAAATGCAAGTTGGTGTGGGCTCAGTTCAACAACCACTGGGGGGGAACATTCTATTCTGGGCACGCAGACTGAATGGGGGGGGGAACGTTTTTTGAAGGGGAGCTCCAGCCAGGAGCTGTTGAGCTGGAATCAGTATGTGGCTTTGGTACTCTCGGCCTTGGCCTAAGCAGAGGCTGGGGACAGCCTCTGTCTCACTGC